ACTGACTTGGATGCCTGCGGCATGACATTTTCGGGGAACTCTAGGTTCTCGCTTCCGGGACTGGTAATTGTGCCCAATCCTGGCTGGCGTTTCGGTGTATTTGCTACTACAGTTGCCCAACTGCGGTCCTCCGGCACCTTTTCGCGTGAAGAGGTTTCCTGCGCTCCGATCCTGCGATTATCTTGCTCTGAGGAAGCGGATTTCTGTGCTACAGGCTTTATCTTCGCAGCTGCTGCGGGGCTGAAAGCGGTGGTAGTTTTCTCCGCTTCAACCTTTTTTACTTCGCTACCTCTTAGCTCTCGCAGCGGATTCCCTTCCGGTTTTGGCGTTGACTTACTCAACGGTGTACCCTTCGGTCCTTGTGTGCCCTTTGGTGTGCACACTTGACTTTGAGCCTTCGTTGAGTTAGTCGCCGATCTAGGTTTTTCGGGCGCCCCTACCCATCTTAGCTTAACTACTGCATTTTTCGGCGGTCCTACTTCCTGTTTACTGATCGGTGGCCAGCTTGTTCTACGGATCACCGTACCATTATCTGGGGTGACAATTATGCCGCCCCTGAAGATGCTCTCTGTTGCCGCTGATCTGGACAATAGTCGGTCCCTGCTATGCACACTCGTGAGGGTTAACAATATATGCCGGGGTTGGGTGGCTCTTTCGCCTTTCCATAGTCCCACCCTATGACACTTTATAATTCCGTCATGGAGTCTCTAATCATGAGCTCCATGCAGTTATGCAGACGTATATTCCCAGCCCTTCCTAGGATTGCTTGATTAGTTTCTTACAGGAGTTTCAGTTTTTTTTAAGCTGTTCCAACCTGTCGTTTATCCTTGCCATACCCCCCGCGTCCTCCTCTTGAGCTACTGCGGTAGTTTTTCCTTTCGTGTTGGCATCTAGTTCCCGGTTTTGCTTACGGTTTCCTTTCTTTGCTTTCTTTCTTTTGGGCACCCGAGGTTTCGTTTCCTTAGGCTGATCCGGTTGGCTGGTGTTGCCCGCCGCTTTGTCCCTGGGGATGCGTGAGCATTCCCCTATCAACGCTATACAATGGACACAGATCCATCGCAGGAAACTATGTATGATGTATAGGTCGTAGCACTTTTTTGTCAGCTTACCACAGCGCTTATGATACCAAAGATGGCACCGTTCGTACTGGATACCCTCGGCCACAAACTTTCCACAGCCGCCATACTCGTTCACCTCATTCCGTAAAGACATTGAAAGGTGGAAAAATTTCTAATATTTAACACCGATAAAATGACTACTTTCAAAACTGGAAAAGTGGAAAAATGGAAAAATGGAACCCAGATGTACGCCACAAAAACAGTAAACAAAACTGTTTACGCAAAACGAAATACCACCACGATTTCTGTAAAATTCAGTGACCTGTGATCGGTCACTGAATTATAAAATGTGCCTTGATTTAACCCAGGCAGTGTATAATAAGTGAAATATCGGTAGATATTCCACTTTGTTAGTATAAATAGGTTGTAGCAGAGAGTGCGTCAAAATTCAAACCGCGCGGGGTACGTACCGTTGTTGTGCAACCTGACCTGACCTGACCTTGGATCTGACTGCGCGCGCGGTTTAAATACTGGACGCAGTTTGTCTTTTTGAACATTTTTGGTCATTTCTAAGTGTAAAGTCTACCTTTTTAGGTTGTTATAACATTTTTTCTAACGTTTATTATCCTGTTATTTATTATTCAATCCCACAACATGGCGACCAACGCCTAAATAATCTAAATCGATTAATTGCCGATCAAAGCCCGAACCCAAATGAATGTGCTCTCAGAAGCAAGCTGTTATGCATCTGACAGAGAATCAGGTATTTGACAACTGTATGAACTCGCTGTACCCCCTTTCCCATTTTATCCGCGAGTCTCCATCTCCGCTCGTTCTTTGTCTCACAGACCGTCGATCCGTGTTTTCTTCCCATAAGTTCTGCACGTCGAATCCTCTGGATACAAGGTTCGATCTTCCTTTAATTTCCGTTGACATGCTCATCCAGTGTATTCCTCCATCCTCCATATCTACTTTTGTGACCTTGTCCGCTTTGTGTTCCGTTTGCACTTCGTTTTCATCCCGGTCCCCCGCCGTACCCATTGTGTATATCTTCTAATTGGACCTTCTATATATCTGCACCTTTGATGTACATTTGACTATTTTGAACATTTGATCATGCTTTGTGCATGCGCCACGGGCTTCGTGAAATATACATTATTATTATTATTCGTGTGTCCTTGCATTGAGCTCTTCAGTTTAACTCTTCGCGGTACTCAGACTTTTCCGTTTTGCTATACTTTTGTTACATTCGTTATCAGTCTTAGTTAGTTAGTTAGTTAGTCTTAATCTTACAGTTACCTATTGATATTATTTTATCTGTATTACTATTCGTATCCTTATTAGTTATTCCACTTTTTATTCAATGTATTCAATTTGTCCACTACTCAACTACTTAGACGTTTCCGTAGAAACTACCATCCAGATCACTTATAAATTCTTAAATCATGGTTACTGGAGGGAACAGGATGGAGGTTAGCAAAGTGCTGAAGACAACCACATCAACCAAAGTCCCATACGGCAACCCCAAGTGCGCCAAGCCTGTTGTCCGAAACGATGTTCATTGCGACGCCCGCAAGTCTTGGTACCAGAAGATCTGCAGTAAAGCTGACAGCAGGGAATACGAGCTACAGGTTAAGCAAGACTTTCTGCAGTGGTACTGTTTGGGCTGTAGACAGCTACTAACGGAACTGGCGAGGAATAGAAATCAGAAGGCGGCAGNCATCTTTTGATCAGAACCCCAAGTGCCGAATCAAGAGAAGCTAAGGTCATGCCTGCACACCGAAACGGTGCGCAAAAGGCAACGGTGCAACCTCCATCAGAGTGGAAAACCGTGCACCACAAGGGCATTGCTACGCCCAGACTCATACAGACTGGCTCTAGCACCCGAGCGGTCATAGTATTTCACCTACCGGTATCCAACTTATCATCACTGGCCGAGGGAGACATCTACAATAGCAGTTTTCCACCAACTATGTGTCGATATGTCCCTCCCTGAGCTGAAACCACTAAGCCTCGGGCGATTAGCGAGGAGCCAGGACTGCCTATACGCAGAGCACCCCAGGTTTCTTAAGATGACTCTTGGCTCAGAGGGTGACACAAGCAGACTTCTTACATCGGCAAAAACTTTAAGTGTATCCTCTGAACTTCGCATAAGACCCGACCTAGCTAGGTCCATCCGAAAGGACCCAACGTGTCCCAAGGGCCCAGACAGAGCACAATTCTGGGCAAAGAGCATCATCCTGCATGAATCGCGAGGAGGAAATCCCCAAGATGACGCACACCATGAACTCTCTCAACGGACCTGTGTATCCTCCGAGCTCGAAATTTAGGTACCAGTGCTCCACGGCCTAGGCCGATTGCCTAGGCCCCCAAAATTGACGCACATACTGCAGCCCAGACTACCTAGAACCACACTCCTCACCAAATCCATCGATCAAGAGACACTTCAGAAATGGAATTCTCTGAGAAACAAGTTCCCCTCTTGCGTCGACGATCATCATGCGTAGGTTCGTACCACGGACTCAGGTTCGACCATTCAAACCGAAAAAGCGACTGTGTCGCCGTACAATTAAGACCTTGGCACGGAGAAGAGGCGCGTGGAACCAATATCAATGGTCCCAGAGCTCCTGTAATTACTAGTTCTTCGTTGAATTACGCAGCCAATGTAACCTACAAAGAATGCAAGACACCAGCGAGTACCAGAGGCAGTTCTTAAACCGGGTCATTGCGGACCCGAGGAGTTTCTATTGAAACATCTCCATGGTGGCCCAGGCAAAACCCGGGATCACAGACATCCGTCGTACGGATGGATCCATTACGGATGGCAACAAGGTTGCAGCTAATACCCTGGCTGAGTACGACTCTACGGTATTCGGCCCAGAACTTGTTAGTCAAAAGGACGATAGCGGTCTTCCCGAAGTAGACTCCATACCTAGCAGTTTCATGGAACCGGTGTCGTTTTCCACTGCACAGGTTGGAATAAAACTGGCAAGTCTCGTAGCTAAAAGGTCACCAGGACTTCACGAGATACCACCCATCCAACTGCAGTAGTGCTCAGAGCAGTTAGCACTACCCCTAAGCAGACTGTTCAAACACTCTTTGAGAGTTGGCGTGGTCCCGGACGAGCGGAAGACATGCGTGGTCTCTCCTATATTCAAGTTGGGGGACCGAACCCTACCAAACAACTACCGTCCGTTAGCCTTGCTCTCGATGGTCTCAAAGGTAACGGAGGGACTCATTGACGACAAAATCAATGAGCTTGTCGAGCAAGATCGTTGCTTACACGATGCCCAGCACGGGTTTCGTGGGAAGCGATCCTGCCAAACTAACTTCACTGAGACCATGGAGTGGTATATATGTGTTGCGGACAAGGGGTGGAACTGGACGTATTCATGCTAGATTTTTCCTAGGTCTCCGATATAGTTCGTCACTGTCTGCTAGTAGGGAAGCTGGCCAACCTGGGATTTCCCGAAACCATGATAGCTTGGGTATCAGACTATCTGTGCGATCGGACCTTTCGGTTTCAAGTGAACAGCGTTCTCTCAGTTAGGTTTGAAGCACCCAGTGGGGTACCCAGGGCTCTATCTTAGGCCCCAGACTGTTCACAATGTTTGTGAACGCTCTCCCCATCGGCATACAATCAGACCTACTGATGTATGCAGACAACTGTCGGGAGATTCAAACCCCGTTAGATAAGTACACCCCGCAAGAGGACCTAAACAGGCTTGTATGCTGATCGGTCGCACATGGGTTGTCGTTCAACCTTGACAAATGCAAGGTTATGAACATTGCAAGGCATTGTGCAAGAGACTGCTTGCTCGGAGATAGAACATTGCAGAGGGTCATGCACGAAAGGGGCCTGGGCACAGTCATTGCCAATGATCTGTCCCAGCAAACTAACTGCAACACACTGACAATGTTCAAACTCAACCAACTCAGTCAACTTCGGGGGAAATTCGCACCACAGTCTTTCCCCAAGATTTTCGCTAAGCTCATTCGGCCACATCTAGAGATCAACATCAAGGCGTGCCCGCCGCTGCTTAGGAAGGGTGTCAACGGCATTGAGCGTGCACAGCGGAAAGCCACAAAACGAGTACAGGGCTTGTCACGCACACCCTACCCGGATAGACTCGCTCAACTTGTACAGCATGAAGTATAGGAGGGTAAGGGGCGACCTAATCCTACTGAGGGACGCACTCAGCTTTCAGGGGCACCCTAACAAGCATCTGTTTACGATGGCCCCTCCGTCAGGATTGCGTGGCCACTCCATGAAACTGGAGAGATAGTGTCCTAGACTGAGAGCCCGGGAACGCTGTTTCTCGGTAACTGTATGTCGCCCACGGAACTTACTGCCAATGACAGTAGTTCAGGCCAAAAGTAAACAGTCGTGCAAAAACCTACTTGACCAACACAGCCAAAATGTACCCTGG